CTAAACCATATTCATATATTTGTTGAAATAAAGCTCGAGCACCAAAATGATTTCGTAAATCAGCTCCACTACTTGTAAATCCTGCTGAATTTAAAACACATGCACTTGCATATGCACACGATACATGCCGTTGATTTGAATGTTTTTTCATTGATTGACGAATTATTTCTGTAATATTTTCAGGTAAATCTCGAAGTCGAATAAGAAAACCGGATTGAACTCGACCTTTCGTTGGAATAATTGCACTAAGTTGACGCCAAAACATAAAAGCAGCAAATTTATCATAACCATCCTTAGGTTCATTTGGAATTGTTAAATAAACATTTGGTAAACCAAATCCAATAAATGTTTCATTTTTATTATCAAATAGTTTATCTAAGGAAATTAATTTTAAATTTTCATATTCGGTTTCTTCAAGACCATTTCGTAATAAATTATGTCCATTATTGTAATGTGTATCAATTATTAATCGAGTTTTTCGATGAAAAAGTGGTTCTGGTCGAATAACTGCACCTGATCGAATTCCTTTTAATGGAGAATTATTTGTTTCTAATCTAATTTCTTCTTTAATATCACACTCAGAAGTACGTTCGTCATTGTCATTTCTATCGCCGTCTGATGAAATATTTTTATCCATCAATGTCTAAAATTATTTTATAAATCAAATAAATCTATAGTGATCTTTTTATCTAAAATAGAGAACAATCCGATCACTTTTTAGACTAAATATATCAAAAGTACTATTCATGTACTTACTCACAAGTCGTTACTGGCCTTGATAAATGTCATGACCGTGTTTATCGAGTTTCCTTTTCTTTCATTCTGTTGTATTGCTCGCAAAATGGCGATACAAATTTTCTCTCCTATGAGTGACGTGCAATAACATCAGAATGACAAAAAAAAAGTGACTAATTGGAAGTAAGTGACTACTATATTTGTCACTCCTACTTTGCAGAGACGCAGAATCTATCCGTACGCTGCCAGAAAAAAAACGACTCTCTTAGAGAAATTCTAGAAAAATAAAAGAGGGAAAGAAAGGTTGAAATAAAGTAGAAAACGGAGTAGATCATTTAGTGAAGAAATTTTCTAAAGAAAAAATTCAAATTTCTTTAAAAGAGAAAGCCAGATTTTCTTTAAGGCCTCTCTTGTCAAAAATTTACTTTCGCTCCAGAATAATCGATCTTGTTGAAATTTTCAGAAGATATATATCCAGGTATAGAACCCTTATGGTAAAAATTTCAGCTCAAAATAGCGAGCTCTTCAAGAGTTATTCTCAGATTACGGACCCAAAAGTAGGTGTCTGTGCGTCCCATATTTCTTTCCCAAATTTGATGATGCAGAACTCGGGTTAGCGCCAAAATGTAGCTAAAAAGTGCCACTGTGACTTAACAGAGGTTGATTTTTAAAATTTTCTTTTAATGTTTGGTGTCAGTTTTTCTCAAAAAATAAGAAAGATGTGAAAAAAAGCGGCTCTGTTAGGTTGTACAGCATAGTTTTCTCTTCAATTTAAGACTATTCTCAGCTTTCTAGTATGTAAAATGGCTGAGAAATCTAGGACGCACAAACGAAAAAAACGCAAAAAAACGGGGTACTTCTTCATTTTAATCACAGCGCCCTCACCCGCAACGTTGTGTTGTGTGTATGAATCACACCAATCAGTGTGCAGATGTGATTAAAGTGAAGAAGAATCAATTTGTCTTTTTACATATTTATCGAAAACACGAGTTTCTAATTGCACTGCAGCTCTCTTAATACATGTGTAAAGAAAAATATTTGTGTAAAAAGATACTGATTTGTAATTCTGACGAGATGATTGGGCCGTTACGTGAGCATCAGAAGAACAAGAAAAAGAGGACGCGAGATCGCGTTCGAAGTTTAACAACGTCTCTTATTTTCGTACACTTACTAGATTCTCAGTAGCGATAACTATGAAAAGTCAAAAAACAAAAATAATTAAGATTTTCAAAACCGTAATTGTTTTCTAGATGCAATGTTCGTATTAAAATCCGTGTACAACAATAAAAAAACATCAGAAATGAGATAAACTATAGTGTTTTAGAAAGGACATGATTAGGGCTATCCAATCACATACATATCTCAAAATCGAATTTTCTGATGTGGAGGGAGGGCCTTAAGTGTCAATCCAATATTTGTAAAAAAGAAATTCAACCTTTCTGAAACCGTTCTTATGTATCCTCGTGAAAAATATAGTATCGCTGTGATTAGAGCACAAAGCACTCATTGATGAGATGCAAATTCATATTAACACACAACCTATTCACAAATTATAATAATGTTTGGAACAGTCAGTCGAAATTAGAAGATGAATGGTGGTTCTTCTACAAGAAATCTGAACAGTATTTACCATGGAAGTTGATAAAATCTGAATCGTTGGTCATCAGCGAATTTAGATTTTCATCCGTGCTGCGAGGAAGCTTCGGCAAATTCTACACCTCCCGCCCACTTTGATCTATTCTGACAAATCCTATCTTCCTAAACAACAGAAGAATTTGAGGTAATGGATAAAGAGTTTTTTTTTGTTAAATATAACATGTGATAATCAAATGAAATCAATATTGAAAAATTTTTTTATAGTTTAAAATGCGTTTCTATTATGATTTCAATCGGTGGATAAAAATATCGACTAGAAAACTATCAAATTCAGACAAATTATATACCGAACATAAAATCAGCGAACAAAAGTAATAAAATATTTTTTAAACTCGCATTCGAAAAACCTCACACCTAACTAGTATGAGCCGATGAAACTTCGATGTTCAATAACTATTAAAACTAGAAGGCAGTTTCCGTAGACCCTTGTTCAATCATTCTTACCGATTTGGCTGATACTTTTTCACAGTAAGTAGACCTAGTCAAGTTAGGTAGAAACTAGCTCAAACGGATGAGCTGTTCTGGAAATATA